ACCAAAGTCAGACGCCTAACCGACTGAGCCACCCAGGCGCCCCGTGAGAATTCTGTACATTTTTAAAGAGTTTAACGAGCCATTTGAAAATCCCAGGACTCCAAAATTGCAAGAAAACCTTTTTTAACTAACTATGAAAGAATCGTAAAACCTACATAGGGAAAATTATATCCAATTGGGAAATTTAAATTTTGATATTTAGTAAGGAGATATCACGCATTTAAGCATTCTTGGATATATAAATAAAACACCGTAAGAGTGCATTTTCTTCCACAGAATTACAATTTTTATAAAATTCCAACCAAAAATGTCAATCGATCTATAAAGTATTTGGAAAATTAATACATAAGAACATAAATGGACACTTTGAAAGTAAAAGGGAGAACCTAAGGTTTTTTGAGCCTTACTTAAATCAGAATAGAGTAGAATAAACAGAAACAAAGAAAGCTGTATAGATTCAAATTGTTCAGCATTTTCTCAACTCCAAAAAAAAAAAAAAAAAAAGGATGCTACCAAACAGAAAAATAAAATCATGGGCTTTCAGAAACCCTCTTGGTTATACACATATTTTTGTAGTGCTAAATAAAATATGTTTTCCCTGCATGAGAGTAAAACTGAGAACAAACTGAGGGTTGACGGGAGGGGGGGCAGGGGGGGAGGGGAAAGTGGGTGATGGGCATCTAGGAGGGCACCTGTTGGGATGAGCACTGGGTGTTGTATGGAAACCAATTTGACAATAAATTTCATATTAAAAAACAAACAAACATATTATGAAATTTTACTGAATATGATAAATATACTACGGGGAAAAATAAATAGAAAATATATGAAATAAGAGAGAAAAAAAAGAGAATGGCGTCTAAAACGACATTCAAGCCAGTTTCACTGATGAGGAAGGAGAGCAGATATGAGCAGTCACTAAGGTTCTCGTCTTCAAACCTTTCATCTCAGATCTATGAATGTTATGAGTATATATACAAGGAGAGAAAGAGAAAGAGAGAGATGTACTATATACTGTATATATACACATATAGGATATATCCATATGCATACATACTGTATATATGTATACTATATATATATATATGTATATACTATATGAAAGGTTTATAAAAATCTTAGGCAAACCATGATCATGACAATAGCAATTACATCTGGGTTTTAGATACTAAGTAAATTTTGATTCACTTGATAGAATTCTCTCTTACTTTCCAAACTTCCTAAAAATTACAAATTATTTACGGAAAAATTTTAATCAGTGTATCATTTGTGGATGCCATCAAATCACATATTTGTAAAAATGTGCACATGGGAGGAAATTTTAAAATATAATAGAGGGTATTTTGAGGAAGTGGGACTCCGGAAGTTAATTAATTTCTTACTCAACGTCCTTTCTTCTTAAATCTGCTGTAATGAGCCCGTATCCTCTCTGCAATGGTAAAGTTAAGGCTTATTTGTAAGATGAATGTGCAGAGGCTGGGGAGTGGTAGCACAGAGGCTGAAGATGATTGAGGCATTCTGACCCTACTAGATATTAAAGCTCATTATGTTACAAAATACTTAAAATATTTTATTTAATACAGATAAACAGAATAATAAATCAATGAAAAAACAGTCTCAGAATAGATTCATGAGAGACTTAATATTAACACAGTAAGCTTTCCAATGCAAACAAGTTGAAAATAAGCATCCCATGAAATTAGCTATATTTAATAGCAGTTTGGTAAGAAAACATAAAAGAAGAAGGGAAGATAAAGCTGGTGCGATGTGATCCACCAAATAAACGCCACAAGGATTAAGGAGTTAAGTACCAAACTAAAACACTAAGTTATGAAAAAGTCAAAGTAGCAGATTATAGACTAGGCTGTGTAAGAGATTACAAATACATATATTTTCAGCTTTGATATAGTAGAGAAAATCAAAAAGAAAAGTTTATCACATTAAATACACAGATGTAAAATCTCTGCAGGAATTTTAAAAAGCAAAATATGAAAACAGTTACACCCAAATTTTGTTAAACAGTATGTCTAACATAGAGCTTATTCAAAATCACAAAAATATTAGGATAAATGAGGGAAGCCAGAAATAAAAATTAGCAGGTGATAAAATTAGAAGTTACCCAAATATGCAGAAACAAATTCATCCTTCTCTTCGAGCAAGCAACAGATTACATTTGAGATACTGTTTGACAACTACTAAACTAGCCAGAATAAATTTTAATAAAATGCTGTAAGAATGTGGAGACCTTGTGCACTGCATTTCTGACTGTACACATTTATAACTCACTTTGAAAGCAACATGGCAGTAATAAATGTTCATCCTCTTTAGTTCTGATATTTCATCTATGGAATTTATATGGAACACATAAAATTCCTCGGAAATAAGAGATCTGCGCACCAACTTTGGAAATGATCATGTGACATAACTGTATGATAACGAACTAACGTGGATGTGTGAGAATTACTTAGAAAGAAGGAAAATGCTTATTGTATAACGATAAGTGAACGCAAAAATATGCCGTAGTATATATATGGTGTGTTTTTTCAATTGTGTACAAAGTACAGATGATAAAATGCAAAGTATGAAAACAATTCACCTGCTCAAGTATAGTAAAAATATGAGTGTTTCGTAGTCTATATTTGCTTAAAGTCAATTGTGTCTAACAGACACAAAGCAATACTAAAGGTAATTGACACAAAGCATTTATAAAAATCATGGTTTTGCAAAACAGGAAAGACTTTTTTCCATGAATAAGGCAGTCAGTGAAAAATACGTTTACAGTCAGAGCATCGTGTGTGTGTGTGTGTGTGTGTGTGTGTGTGTGTGTGTGTGTAAAACAAAGTCTGTTTTAAACCTAGAGCAATAAACACAATGAATC